GTTTTGGTGTCGCGGGGCCGTAGGTACGTACCCTCTCTTCCTGGCCATGCAGCCGCACCACCCGCGGATCTCTTTGGCCACCACGCGAGAGAGGAGCTGTAAGAAGAAAGGCGAAGGGTTGCCGCGGGGCTGGCAGCTCTGCGGCCATCAGCGTGAGCGCGTCCATTGCCAGGAGGTAAATTTTAACGCTTTTTCTAGGGAACATCACAGGAATTAAAACTGTGTGGAGGTCATTGGGAAAAAACAAGACGGAAGCAAAGATCTGGAGTGGGTACGGGGCTTTGCGATTCTCCTGAAGACCGTCCCTGCCCTCCGCCGGCGGCAGAAACGAAGCTGTTGAACATCCAAAGTAAAAAAGTGACGCCTGCCAGGGCAGGACCTACCAGGCAAGCCAAGACGTCGGCCGCTATCAACATGTAGAAGACGTTATTCCAACCCGTGGGCGAGATGAGCCCTGCAAGCAGCGGCCCCAGCGCGGCACCTGCGAGGGGCACGAGGCGCGTTAGGAAACACGCGGTGGGGTCAGAGCCCCCCAGGACTGGGGAAATCGGCACTAGGCACCCCCCGCGCTGCTCAGACCTATGGATCCGGTGCCGTCGATGATGGCCGTGACGGTAGAAAGGGCTTTGGCGTTGCCTTTGAGAGATTCATGGGTGCCCTGGAGGGATGACGGAGCAAAACGTAAGGAGGAAGCAATTTTTTCCACTCGGTGTTTCGAGGGAGATGCAGCAAGGATGAAGCAGAGTCATGCGGCCAAAGTGGAAAAAGCAAAAGGAAAAAAAGTCATGTTTAAGGGAAGTATGAGGCGTGACAGCCCTGCCCTTCTCTGCTGGGCTTCAGAGGCATCAGAAAAGAAAGAAAAAATGCAAAAATCCCCGAAAATGTCCTTCCAGGAAAGTCGAGCAGCCTTTGGGTCTCCGAGGTGCGCCTCTTACCAAATCTGCCGAAACCGCTGTTGTGATGAGGGCGTAGGGGCCGTTGACCAGAGCGCCGCAAACAATCAGCATCGCTACGAGGAACGAGATGGCCCCAGGAAGAGATTAAACCGTTTAAGGGCAGGATGTCGGGTCCATCGTCCCCGGCTCGTGTGTGGACGTCACCGTCCGGCGCGTCCGCTGCCTGCTCGTCTCTGTTCTCCCCCGGAGATCCCACCCCACAGGCAGCAAACGCTCATCCCCGCCCAAACCCCAGACCCTGAGCCCGGCTTAAGAGGAGAAACCAAAGCAGGTGAGCCCGCGGCATCTCCCGCCGCCCGTTCGGTGACGCCGAAGGAGCTCCTCACCTATCGACACGCCGATGCCGTTCTGGCCGATGTGGTTATACAGGAACAGCTGGAAAAGAGACACGGGATCAACCAGATCATTCCAGCTGCTTTCCCAAGAGTTTCGGGACAGGACGGAGAAGGTGGGGACCTGGATTATCACCGGTTCCAAACTTTGCAGAAGAGGGATGGGATGGGGAGCCGAGCACGCCCTTGGCTGCGTGTCCCACCGTCTCCCCACCAGACGCAATAACCCAGCAGCTGGCAAGCAGAGGTGTCGCGGTGATTTACGGCTCGCGTGCCTCCCCGCCGGCCCAAGCCAGACAGCGATTTGCCCCGCCGGCGCTATCAGGGGACGTGATGCGGGCGCCAGTTTCTCCAGAGGGGAGAGGCTTGCGACTCAGAGCCAGCCAGGATGGGTTACAGCTCATTAACCGCGTGTTTCTGTGGCAGCAAAGCCAAACAGGCTCCATGCAGGTGCTTGAGAAGGACATCCTGGCCAAGCGCTGCCGGATGGTGCCAAAAAAACCCTAAACATTTTTTTTTTTAGCTGTCAAGGGCTCCACAATCCCCTCCCAGCCCCCAGATCTCCACCTCCACCCCGGGAACACCGGGGCACGTGGATCCATCCCAGCTCTTTTATCTCAGCCGAGCGCGTGACCGGCTCATCCCGGGTGCTTGGGGAGAGGAAGGCGGCCGTGACTCAAAGGAGCCGACGGAGAGGAAAAGCCTCGTGACTGGGGTCTGGTTTTTTTTTTCCGTCCCTGCCGCTGCGTGACAACGCACCATGGGAGCGGCGACGACCAGCATCGCGCAGCACGTGGTGGCTCTGCCGCCGGAGGAGTCGGAGATGAGGCCAGCGAAGATCCCCCCTGTGGGAAGGAGGTGCGAGCGTCGGTCACACCACGCCAGCGGCAGAGCTTCGCCCTGGCTTTGCCCGAAATCCGATGGGATGCTGCGCCACCACGATGCTCTTTCATCCCAGAACTTTTGGGTGAGATGCCCCCAAGGTTAAATATAAAAAAATCAGAGGGAAGAGTTTTGATTTATCCCTGCTGCTTTTGGGAGAAAGTTTCCCTCCACCTGCGAGTGGCTCTGGTTTCCTCCACGCTCGCACGATTTATTATTTATCTAAAAAACCGAGAGCGTGGGCAAGCGAGACCCAAGGAAAGGTGTTGCGATGGTCAACTGGATGGAAAAATAAAAACAAGGCGTGCTCGGTCGCTGCCGAGTGCTACGAACGCTGAAAAACCTCCAGGGAAAGACACGGTGTCACCTGCGGAGGGGACTTTCCACCAAGGTCACAACTGTCCCCAAATCGTCCCCGATCCACCCCCTCCTTCCACCTAACGAACCCAAAATGCCGCCGA